TTTTGTCTTGCGATAAAACGTTTCTTAAAATTTCATGTGTTTTTATTTTTCATCACTTTATTATAACACGGACGTCTTTAATCTATGAATTATGATCCTTTGATTTCACAAAATGACGTATCTACTTTTTTTTGAAAATTTTGAACACAAAACGAAAATGGGTTGATCGTTGCTCATTTTTGAAAAGCTTGTAAACATGAGCAGATATACCCACAAATTCAATTATGACCTTTAATAATGTGTGGATGCACCCTGATGTGCTACGCATTCTCCAACGCGCCTAGGCATGCTTCTGATCAGGTGGTCAATGTCCTCCTGTGGTATCTCATTCCAGGCAACCACCAACTCCTCTCGAAGTGCTTCTAGAGTCTGAGGAGGACGTTGCAAATTGAGCAATCTCCTACCCATCATATCCCACACGTGCTCAATTGGGGATAAGTCGGGAGATCTTGGTGGCCATGGTAACAATGTGACATCATTATGTTGAAAGAAGTCTATTGTGACTCTTGCAACATGTGGTCGGGCATTATCTTGTTGGAAAGTTGGATCTGCCAGGGTGCAAGATAGGGTAAAAGATGGGGCTCTAGAACTTCGTGGATATAACGCTGCGCGTTCATGTTACCTCTGATGAAGATTAAAGGTGACCTGGAACCATAAGCTATAGCACCACAAACCATAACTCCAACAGTACATGTCTTTCAACAAAAAACTGTGGATTCCTCCTTTCACCACGTCGCCTTCTAACCCTGGCACGACCATCGTGCATGCCTAAACTAAATCGAGACTCGTCACTAAAGACAATACTGTTCCATTCCTGATCCCAGAGTGACCGTTGTCTGCACCACTCAAGGCGATTACGTCGGCGTTATCGAGGGACCCAGTGTGGCCGGTATGAAAACAAGCCAAAACTTCTCATTCGTCGGTAAACACTTCGCATGCCAATAGGTCTTCCGTGTTCTGCAAACCATTCATTTGCACTGGACCTGGTAGTGGAGAAACGGTCCCTTAAGGCCAATAATCTTAGGCGGCGATCTTCACGGTCTGTTGTTCTACGGCGGCGTCCAGTGCCCCTTGCTCTTTGGGTACGGACTTCTCGAAGCCATGCCTGACAACACCTAACCACAGTGTCTACACTTCTTTGCACTCTAACTGCAATTGCCCGAAAAGAAAGTCCAGCTTCCCGAAGTCCCACTATACGGCCCCTATCAAACTCACTAAGTTGACGAAATCGTACAGGTCTCCGTACTCTAGGCATCGTAACCGATCGTAAAGGATGTCAAGAACCAAAATCCGCCAACGTTGATTCTTTACTGCGGCTGAAATATTCATTTTTAGAGCGTTAGTGAATTAAAAAAAAGCAGTATAAAAGCCGGAATGTCCAACTGATAAGGCTGAAAATTTTTTCACTTGTTATTTACAGTAAGATAAATACATTCACCAACTTTTATTAAAATAAAACCATTTAAACTGGGTGTTCGGATTTATATGTCACTTAGTATAAACTACATGGTTTTTCGTGATGTACAATATCATATTATAACATCCAAAAAACGTTTGCAAAAGTTTTCGCTGTTATAGTGCTTCATCAATGGTGAAAAGTGAAATTGTAACTTTCTGATTAAATTCGTCTGGCGAGTTTATAGTCAGATCAAGTCAGATACATCTGAGAAAGATTTCAAAATATTATAGTCGGGGTATCTTTCCAAAAATGAAAGTCTGACAGTCTCGAACGCCCACCTTCAGTGGAACAGATAAGTCCAACGTATAGCTTGGGAATATAAAATCATCAGTTTGTATGAATGACCCTCATAACCAGAAATTCCTGGTTAAAAGAACAATTGACTCACGAAAAACCAACCTGCGCAATAATTTAGTTGAGAAAGATCTCCACTTCACTTAACAAAGGTTCCAAGAGAAAATATATGGAAAGCTTATTAGTACTCGTAAAACGGATCGAGAAGACTGGAAAGAAGAGCTTTCATTAGAATGATAATGTAGTATTTTGGATAGAATCAATATCAGTGAACAGTGAAGAGCACAACGAAGATGAAAATGCTGTGTGTTACTGTTTAGAATCTTATTGTGGATGATCACATGCATACTAAATCAGTGTGTGTGAACTTTGGATTACCGTACTTTATATATTTCATAGACGAATCTCATGCAACAGTGTTTAACGTGATCCATCAATATTTATTATGGATTGAAACATTTACTAACCGTGAAGCCAGTAATTATGGACGTATAATGGATAATTCAGTAAATACGGGTGCTATGAACCACAGTAAATTGATTCTGTGATATTCGCTATTTGAGAACATTTTTTGGTCAGTGAGTTTGCCACGCCCTTTTTTGGTTAATTAATAGAACACAATAATTAATACTAACGAACGGTTGGTCCAAGCAAAACAGTTGTCTAGTGGCCTGCAAATTTAGGCCCTAGCTCAACAAAGCGGAGACTAGGGGGGTTAAGAGCGCCAGTGACTTAGGACGGATTAAGCCACAACTCCCCGAGATGTTAGTCGGAACTTGTTTTGCTTGACCACCACACAAATGGAGAATCTAACAGATATGACTAAACTAATATACCCTTGTTCTAAAAAGTTATGGCAGCTCAAAAATCAAAATCATGATCAATGTAATAGACGGTACCATGTAGGCACTGCCCCATATTTGAATACGTAGAATGTCCAGTAAAATCAAGAAGTCTCTAAGAATTTCAATAAGCAATAATAAATGTATAAAGATCTATGAAATTGTTAATTAGAACGATATTTTACCTGTTCACATCAGGGTCTTTTTTCAAGGGGATGGCTTCCACCAATTTAAAAAACTGCAACAAGATGCAACCAACTGGAGGAGAAAGGAAGGATGATGATCCTCTTCTGTTTCTATTGACTAAAAGAAAGCAGATATTGAACGAACGTGATCAGGACACGCATTAAGGCACGTGGTCCGAAGGTATATAAAAAAGATCTTACCGCTGAGGGTCAAAATCCCATAAAAAAAATGGAAAAAGTAGCACCCAAACCAAAATGACTAAACTTAAGTGACACAAAACGCAGAACACGTAACGTTCTAGAAGAAGATATCTTGAGTGGCCTTGAAGAAGATATGTTTTATAGGAAACCAACTAACGGAGAAAAACTACAGAGTTTTTTTGCTGATCGTCAACACCATACTGAATCGCTGAGAAAGAAAGATATAATACGAGTGAAATTATACAATCAATAAACTATTCCATTTGCCAAAAGAAAATCATTGAAAAGGGTTTGGCCTAGGAATGGGCACTCTATTGTCAATGAGAAATTCAAATTACGGATAAGTGATAAATAGTACAAAAAAAGGTTACTATCTAATCTATTGGTAGTATTTACATGTAATTATACTTCCTTTCACTTTGTTTAAACCCAAAAACCTGCAAAGTAACACGCAAAAATGCCAGTTTTATATTAAAATTCATATCGCTGGTATTAAACTATACACAGTACAATGTTATATTGCTATTTGAACATCCAGAGTATGAGACGTTCTGCCTCCGAATAGCATTATATCTTCTTAATTCCTCAAATATATCCTGCCCAATTGTAATATCACTTTGCACTTTTGACACAGTTAGCATGGATCGCTCTTTTAGATGGCGCCCTAGGCTTGGGTACCAATTTGAGTATAAAGGTTGCATACCCTCACATGTGATTCTCAAGAACTAACCAGTCTCCGCTGAAATCCCACATCTCATGTCTCGCACACAACAAAGATGGATAAGACAGCACATTCACAAAGTGATAGTAACATAATTTCCTGAGAAGATGCAGATAAAGATGAGATGAAGGGAAACACTGCTCAAGTCGGAGAAGTGTGATATCGGGTGCAAAGCCAAAGAGCGCGAAAGTCGTCATCATCATCCGCGAACATTCGTCGCGTGTTTCGCTTTCGTTAAAAGTATGTTTTAATTAGTCAGAAGTGTTAAACGAGCTTATTATATTCACACGACTGCCGTCTGCAGAACATTACAGAACATTAATTAAATAGACTCATTCCTCCAGCGACTCTTTGTGGTCGAACATTCATTATCCGACGAGGTAACGCCAGGTATTTGCCATACATCAGTTTTCACGCTTGATATTTTTATTATGACTATACGTCATGTTGTATTCGTATGTCTTCCTGATTGTCTATCTCAAGCCATGCGTATTGAAGTGTGAGCGGTAATGCAAGCGCAGATCATAAAAGAACTGCAATATTTATAGCAGTATCACTAAGCTAGTCACAGAGTGAAAAGCAATGGACAAATGGAAGGAAGTAATAACGGCTTGAAACGTCTTCAAAATCTCCGAACACAGCAGAATACGCTTATTTGTTGATATATTTATTGGTTAAAGAGACAAAACCTTAATAAATACAAGAAAAACTCATTTTTTTGGATTTAGCTATTAATACCTAAACTAAAGGCTTACAAATAATTTTTCTGAATGGAAATATTTCGTTTTATAGGGTAAAGTACCGATTTTTAAATTTTTGACACTGTACTCAAAATTAAACTCCTTATTGATAATATTAGTACACAAGTACAAATAAACATTTAGCTTTCTATAAATCAAAAGTTCAACTGAATCAAACAACATATTAAGCAAAAAAATACAAAAATAGAAAGGCTTGCAAGTGGTACGATGAAGCGAACATATAAACACATATAAAGCAGTACCAATCAGTAGGATCATATTCAATTTGAGCCTTTACCTCGGCAGATTTTGAAGTGGAAGATTGACCGTCACGTGCTTCAAAAAGAGAAGTAACATAGAAGAAAGATCTTTTTTTACCTTTTTGGTTGATTTTTGCATTTGGTTACTTTTGCTTTCTACTTCATCCTTATAGGGCATGGTGCTCAGAATGACGGCTGATTGAGAAAATGTTCGTCTCTTAGCGTAGACTTTATTCTCGGGTAGAGGGTAAATTTCTTCAATAGAGGTCTTGGGATCTGTTGTGTTGCAATTTTTGTTTTAATCAGTACTATCACTGTGAACTGGTGGCTCAGTAGCATCATCTTTAGGTTCAGGAGTCGTTTCACGTAGATTTTCTGCCTCTGAGTTCTCACTTGCTTTTTCTGAATCATTTTCAAGCAAGGCATTAGCAGCGATAAAATCTGTCTCAGAAAATACAGTGCGGTCAACCGGCCATATTCCAGTTATTTTGAAACCATTCATGATAGTGCTTATTGATGCTGTTTTTTACAGGCATCAGAGAGCAATCCAGTCATGTTGTATTGAGAAACAGTGTTATCAGGATTGCTTCTTAAAAATGTTTCTAGACCTTGAGAAAAATAGGATTCCATAGGCTTAAAAAAGCTCACGTCTAACGGCTGCAACCGATTTGTAGTATGGCCAGGAAGTTGCAGTAGTACAATTCCATGACTTTTTGCTAAAATGAGTGCCTCTAGATTTTTAGAGTGCGTTGTGTGACCATCTGGTAAAACTTTTTTTTTCGGTACTTGGTTTTGCGTACTCAATGAAAAGCTGTGGTAACCATTTAACAAAAAGTTCACTATTTATATATCCAGTTTCTGAAATTGTAACAATAGTGCCAGGTATCGCACCTATGGTAAGCTCTGGAGCCATACGTTTTCTCTTAAAAATTATTATGCACGGTACAGTTTGACCGGCAGCACTGGCACAAACGACAACTGCGGTATTTACCACTTGCTATACCTCCAACTTGGTGCTTTCCTCTACGTGAAATTATTTTTTGATTCCGTTTCTGAACTGTTGAAAATCCACTTTCATCAACATTATAAGTTTTTTGAGCTGTAAAACCGTTTTCATCGACACATTTTTCTAAAATATCGAAAAACTCATGGACGTCTTTTTGGTTGAATCTAGTTGCTCTGGCCATGGAGATTTTCTCTGGTTGTCTAAATGACAGTTCAGGATGCCGGTCCATAAAAGAATAATAATTTGGACGGGGCAAAGATAATCATAAAAGCTCCTAAATTTTGACAAGAGTTGTCATGGGTAGTAGATCATTATTTCGAAAATGGTGGTGGTACGATTTACCCGGCGGTACGCTTTTTCCGACTTTACCCTACTTCTTAATCTGTGAACTTCGTCAGAAGTTTTTAGGAAAAAGCGTGTTACACCATTTGTCCATCTTGCTCTTAAAATTTAACAGGTACTATTTTATTTGAAAACTTAACACGAAGGAACTCTAGTACAGTAGTTATTTGTTAATTTTTAGTTAATTTATTGAAAGCAAAATAAAACATGTTTAGTTAAACTAATCTTCTTTTTATACTTTTTACTATATCAGTATTTAAATAGCTAAGTGATTTCCACCACATTTACATAATGTTATTATTAGGACTTCATAAAGCTCCTTATTTTATTTATTTATGAGATTTCCATCGATACAGATCATATAATATACTAAGTGACATATACATCCGAACACCCAGTTTATTTTAATAAAAGTTGGTGAATGTATTTATCTTACTGTAAATAACAAGTGAAAAAATTTTCAGCCATATCAGTTGGACATTCCAGTTTTTATACTGCTTTTTTTATTCACTAATGTTCTAAAAATGAATATTTCAGCCGCAGTAAAGACTCAACGTTGGCGGATTTTGGTTCTTGACATCCTTTACGATCGGTTACGATGCCTAGAGTACGGAGACCTGAACGATTTCGTCAACTTAGTGAGTTTGATAGGGGCCGTATAGTGGGACTTCGGGAAGCTGGACTTTTCGGGCAATTGCATTTAGAGTGCAAAGAAGTGTAGACACTGTGGTTAGGTGTTGTCAGGCATGGCTTCGACAAGGCCGTACGCAAAGAGCAAGGGGCACTGGACGCCGCCGTAGAACAACAGACCGTGAAGATCGCCGCCTAAGATTATTGGCCTTAAGAGACCGTTTCTCCACTACCAGGTCCATTGCAAATGAATGGTTTGCAGAACACGGAAGACCTATTGGCATGCGAAGTGTTTACCGACGAATGAGAAGTTTTGGCTTGTTTTCATACCGGCCACACTGGGTCCTCCCTTTAACTCGAGAACACCGACGTAATCGCCTTGAGTGGTGCAGACAACGGTCACTCTGGGATCAGGAATGGAACAGTATTGTCTTTAGTGACGAGTCTCGATTTTGTTTAGGCATGCACGATGGTCGTGCCAGGGTTAGAAGGCGACGTGGTGAAAGGAGAAATCCACAGTTTTTTGTTGAAAGACATGTTCAACACACTGTGAGTTATGGTTTGGGGTGCTATAGCTCATGGTTCCAGGTCACCTTTAATCTTCATCAGAGGTAACATGAACGCGCAGCGTTATATCCACGAAGTTCTAGAACCCCATCTTTCACCCTATCTTGACACCCTGGCAGATCCAACTTTCCAACAAGATAATGCCCGACCACATGTTGCAAGAGTCACAATAGACTTCTTTCAACATAATGATGTCACATTGTTACCATGGCCACCAAGATCTCCCGACTTATCCCCAATTGACCACGTGTGGGACATGATGGGTAGGAGATTGCTCAATTTGCAACGTCCTCCTCAGACTCTAGAAGCACTTCGAGAGGAGTTGGTGGTTGCCTGGAATGAGATACCACAGGAGGACATTGACCACCTGATCAGAAGCATGCCTAGGCGCGTTGGAGAATGCGTAGCACATCACACATTATTAAAGGTCAAAGGGCTTTAAAGCAGTGCAATCATTTTGAAATTTTTATCATTTACTTATTATGCTTCATTAAGTACTTATACAAAATTTTATTAAAATAAAACCATTTAAACAAGGTGTTCGGATTTATATGTCACTTAGTATACATAAACACGGGAGATGTACTTATATCTATAACTATGCTTGTCCATTTGATCGTACCTATTTTAGCAAACAATCTACCGTTGAAAAAGAAATTTGAGATAATTATTCTAGATGCGTATTTATTAGCTCGATCGGTTTGCGTTGTTTTATTACAGGGTTCTTTGACCACCTTCCGGCTCAATGTCATAATAATATTGTATTAACATGGTAGATCTCCACTATATTGCACTTAGAATGACGTCACTTCGTTTATTGTGTTTCATCAAGCCCTTTAATTTGATATTCATATCATAGGAATCAATAAATTGTTATTTGGTAGTATCCGCCATATTGGATTCAAAATGGTCGCATTCAATTCATTGCGCACTTTGTCATGAAAACCAAGCGTGTAATTTTAGTCCAATTGGTTAAGGTTAACTGGTTCAGTTTTAAGATTTGTACCACGCTAACATACTGACATAGCTGACGATTTAAATAAAATGGTTGTATTTAATATTGTGATGCTTTATTATATTTGTTTTTATATTACTTGAATTTCATTGTTTTCTTGCCAAAGTTTTAATTTTGTAAATGTTATTCTAGCAGTCATAGCATGGCATAGCATTTTGGGTACAATGAGCCTAAAGTAATCGACAACTAAGCTCCGTTGCATGTTCACTTCCATACTCATAAAGATAAAAGTTTCTGAGTCACTAAATTTCTGATTGTGGACGGTCAGTTCCGTGCAAATTACATCGAGCTCACCGCATTCAACAAGAATTATTTCTTGTGCTTAAATGCAAGAGGCGTATCAACAGGGAGAAAAAGTTTAGGGAAAAACTAAACAAAAAATTGATGAGCCTAAAGATTAAGCTAGAAAGAAGGAATTTTCAATGAATTATTGAACTATGCATACCTTCATATTGCACTCCTGCTAAATTTTCGTTTTCGTTTTATTACGACAATCAACTTGTCTGTTGTACTGTTTTCCATATTCTTCCCAAGTTCTATTGATTTGCGATTTGCGACAGTGCAAAGCTGATATTATACATATACATATATTGCTTACAAATATTGGCTGCCCAGATCGTGGAATGTCATACCTCTAGACTTAACCAGCTGGACCCTTGAATAAGAGCGTACGATTGGGTAATCATAAATTTTGGGTAACTCCCATTACTTGTCAGCCACACTGCCAAAATCTGAAAACTTATTCTCAAACAAAAATTCATGTACGCCTATTTAGTTTGGCAATAAAGATGGATCGACAGACTTGACTGTTCTTATTTTTTATGCTATTGAAAAAGTATCCATCCATTGCTTATCATCTTGGTATTGGATAGAAATATAATTTTCTGTTTTATCAAATAGAATGTATAATACGAATTTTTGAGATACCGCAAAATGTATGCGCCAAAAACGTATTTTATTTTCCGTCCCTAGTAGCTAGGAAGACTACCAACGCTCTGTTGTTGACCGACGTAGTGTGAGAAAATAAAAAATATGACATCTATTACAAACATTAATATATTAGGCGCAATACAGAAAATATAAACACTTTACGCAGCACAAGTACCTATGACACGCAGTGCTTCAAATATGTGGTGAAAGCGGGTAAAATTCTCGGACCGCCAAAATCATACACCCAACAAAAACATAGGTTTGGAAATGCATAAAAAGTTATGGCAAGTGGTAAGATAGCGAAACAACCTACAGTATATTCAGATAAGAGATAGACCGGACATAAACAAGACCACGTGATCATCGAACGCTGTAACATTCGGCAGGGACGTATTAAGAGTCACGCAGTACATATTTTAGATAGTAGATGCTGCTTTGCGTAACTTTGTAGTAAATTAGCACAATTCGATCTGTATACGATTGGTGATGGATATAGGATCATGTGGGGTGGGGTAAGAAATATATAATGATGTAAATATACATAAGGGTTTCAAAATTTTCGCTTCGATTTCCAGCTTCGGATGCCGCCTGATGTTTGGTGAAATACAGTCGAATATAATCTCAAAATGGCGTTTAAATTAGCCTAAATTAAAAATAATCGTATATCTCTTAAAATTGCTTTTAGAATATTGATTAGTATATTTTTTGATTTATAGGTAAATATGTAACCAAATTAAAACGTTCAAAACGTAAAAAAATGTGCATGGTTGAGCATTGTCAGAAAGTAGATTCTTGAATAGGTTTTGCCAAAATGGGTTCAAAAATGTCAATAATTAATTAAAAAATACAGTAGCTTTATAATTACTTATAACTTACGGAATTTGATGAACGACATCTTTTATTGGAAAGATGAGCTTGATGAGCTTTCATCATCGCTACTGCCTGAAGCACCGACGTCAATAATGAATGGCTCGACTTGTTCCTCTGAAATATTGTCCAGTTCCCACATTCT